CTGCTGTGGGTGCTAGGCTAGGCTGCCCCCAGAGACAAGCCCCGAAAGAGGAGAGGCTGGGAAGGGATGGCTCTGCTCAAGGCCCACGCTCCTGCAGGGACCCCACCCAGGCCCTGCATGCTTGGCTTGACCATGACCCTCCGTGGCTACACTGACACCTCAGCTACGCCTGGTTGTGCCTGGCAGCCCTGGTGCCTCTTGGGAGGTTGGGTTCTGATGAAGTGAGTCTGGAGTGACTCAGGAGTTTGGTCTAAGCGTCTGACAGGGAGGCCTAGGCAGGCCCTGGACAACTGAAGCTGAGATATCTGTTACACTAAAGTGCTAGAAAAAAGGGGGGACCAGGAGCTGTCCTGACAGGAATGGGGTTCCCATTTTCTGGAGTGCTGACAGGGGTGTGCAACAGGACTCAGGAGCCCAGCAGGCAGACTACACCAGGAACAACAGAGGCACCCATCTGGAGAATGCACTGTAGGCCCCCTGGAGGGAGTGCCATAACCCTGCTTTCTCTTTAAAACACGAGATACGGGTGCCTGTTTATCCAGACACCTTTCCAGAAGATACACACTGAACTCACTGCAGCTGCCCCTCTACTCACCCAAAATGCCCATTTCCCCAAACCTGTGTGTATAAGTGCAATGCACCGCTAATAGAATTCCAATGAGTGCTTTGAAAGATGAATAAAAACACGGACAAGATCTAAAAAAGGGGACTGCAGAGAAGCAAAGAGCTTGGAACCTTTTATTATTATTATTTTGGTTTGTAAGCTAAGCTTTAGGAGCTTAACACCCTTGTTGGAATTGATGATGGTCTTTTTTTCTTTTTTTAAGAGTTTAAAGCGAAAGTGAGTTTATTATTGAAGCATGGAGACAGAGAACAGGCTACTCCACAGGCACAGCAGCCATTTCTGATGGTCTTAATGCAAGCATGCCTGTTCTTCCAAAGTCACTACTCACGGTGACCAGCTGTGACGACACCCTCCGAGTCCCTGGTCTGGGCGGCTCTCAGAACTCCCCCCTCCCCTTCTCCTCCCACCCCCAGGTTTTCATGCTGGAATGCCCTGTCCCCTCATGTCCATGGACACTGCCCTCCAGGGGGAAGCACCTTCAGAAGAGGCAGCTCTGAGCCGGCTAAGTGACCACAACTATACCTGTAAGCTGCTAGATTCCTTACACTAACAACCTGTAATAGAAAACATGAGAAAAGATTCCAATCACAAATGGCCAAGAAACATAGTTAGCATAAACTTAGAGAGATGCTGCTGATCCTGGCCATTGCACCCGCAAGGCCTGGGCGAGAGCCAGATGGGCCTGGAGGAGAAGGAGGCTCAGAACCGCAGTGCAGGGCCCCATCTAGGACTCAAGCCGCTGTGCCGAAGACGATTCAGTTATGGTGCCAGGACAAAGGGCTCAGTGCTCTGAGAAAAATGAAACCACCTTTACACAAAGCTCCACAAATCTCTCAGAAAGTAGAGCCAAGGCAAAGAGTCCAAAAAATAGGACAAAAAAGTCAGATCATCTCCTACTTTATACGGAAAGTCTAATTAATCCACTAGGCTAATTAATGAATAGGAGTTAAAATTTTAAATTACATCATAAAGTAACTTGAATAAAAACGCAGGTAAGTTTTCATTCATTTCAGTAGGAAGGGCCTTTCTAAATACCCGAAACAGAATGCCTGGGGGGCACATTTGCTCAAAAAATAAAAATTTTATGCACATCAAACGGGCCGCAAAATCCATAAATGGGCCCAAAGACATGTAAGAATTTAATACACAATAGCAGTGGTTTTCCAAATCAATGAAAATATATTTTATTCATTAAGTAGACTTGGAAATAGCATGATTTAGAGGGGTGGGCGTGTGGTGGAGAATGAAGCTGGATTCCCAGGTCACCCCACCAAAACAAATTCCAGATGGATCCAACATTTTACAAGGAGCAGAGAAACACAAGAGTGTATTGTAAAAATAATTTTGGAGTGGGGAGGGCCCTTAAAACAACACAAAGCCTTAAAGGTAAATATTTGACATCTCAAAGAACCCCAAACCAAACAGAACGGCCATTTGAGAAGAACGTTTTCAACGTAAATGGAAAATACGAGCAGGCGTATCCCAAAGGAAACACAGAGGCCAGAACACAGGACAGGGACCACTCCTCTGTCTCGGAACGGAATGAAGACACTGACCTGGCGAGAAGGCCCACGTCGGGGAGGAGGCCCGGGCCTCGATCTCGTCCCCTCCCCGTCGCCCCGCCGGGCCCTGGGCTCACAGCCGATCGGGCCGAGAGGGCGGCCGGCAGCAGAGAAAACCCAAGCGCCGCGCGTCGGAGCCTCCTTTTAGATTAAAAACAAAAAAGTGCAGGTCGATCCCGAAAGGACACAAAGCAAATCAGCCGGGGCCTCCTCCGCGCGCATGGCAGCTACTCGCGGAAGGACTCCCACTTTTTATATTTACGACGTTTTTATTCTTCGAAAATTATTGCCTATCATTGTCTACTACAATATTAAGCAAGTGATGAAAAAGGGGAATATCTGCAAACTATGTTAGAAAACGCTGGTCTCATTCATTGAAAAAAGGCTCTTACAAAGTAACAGGGAAAAGACGGCGTCCGTAGAAAAACGCAGGGAGGGTGTGCGATGCGGCGAGAAGCACCTTCGTCCACGGGCCCCTCAGGCGGTTTCCGGGGAGCCCGGCGCCCCCGAGGCCTACCACCCTCCCCGCCGGACTC